ACATGAAGGTGTTTTGTCTCAGCACACTCTCATGACCACTAGTGTGTGACTTTACACACCTACATATTTTATTATTCATGCCCCGCTAATACTGGGCTGACCCCAGTTCAACAGGGTACTGTAAACATTCCTCTGAGATTTTGGTCCATATTGACATGATGACATCACACATTTGCTGCAGATTTATTGGCTGCACATCCCCTGTGTTCCTCCACATCCCAATTAGATTAAAATCGGAGGTGATTTGAGTGATGACTGAACTCATTGACATGTTCTGAGCTTTGACAGCTTTGATGTTCTGAGGTGCTGGAAGCAGCCATCACCATGGTGGTCTGATGGACTTGGTCAGCAGTAATACTCAGGTAGCTCATGTCCTTTAAATGATGCACAGCTGGCACTAAGGGGCCCAAAATCTGCAAGAAAATGCAGAAAAATGCAGAAATTTAGATATTTGCATTAAGGAGCAGTGGAGCAGGTGAACCTAATGAAGTGGCCAGGGAGTGTATAAAACATTTGCAGTGTTTGTTGTTGTTTTTTTAAGTAAAATCGTTCACGATTTTTAGTCAAGTTGTAGTAAAATGAATAAAAATCAGCATGTTGAGGGTCATCTAGCATGTGTGTAATATTTGGCATGCTGTGGTGTTCCTGCTGCGTTCTGCATGCTGAATGTGACGCTGCAGTTAACTGTGGTTGTGTTTGTGAGTTGACACGTTGACTTTAATCTCTCAGATTTCTACATGTCAAACGTGCACATAGACTAGGAGGAACTTTACTTTCACTTTCTTTAAAGTGCTCTCAGAAATTTCTCTTCCTCTTGCTCTGGAGAACTGAAAATCGTTGTTTGAAACACAAAAGTCATTCTCTCAGTTCCTTAAAGTGTTAAGTCTAACTTTATTGTCCTTCGTGTCACGGTGGACCACAGCCGCTCATCTTTGCTCCTGTCCTTCATGGATCCTTTCATATTCATCCTGATTTTGACTCTGATTTCTGGGTCTTCAGGTGAGTGAAGCGGTTAGCCTTTTCACGCATAGTGGACAGCTATTCAAAGGCTGTTTTCTTGTATTTGTGTCAGTCTTGATAGTATACTTGCACATAAACCACTGCAGTGGACACTGATGTGTTTCTCCATACACATCAGTGTCCACCTAAGTGAACACGTAAAAAACTCTTTGTTTAAAAAATAAAGTTCAAAAAATTTTTTTTATGCCTAAAGATGAATAAAAATACTTAAGAAAAAAATCCTGATTGAGGTTGTCATAATTCATGCATGCCATGATTAAAGACAAAAGTCAATATGTGGGCAGTCTTTTAATGCTGTGTTTGTCTGAGTAAAGGGTGAATGTTTACTATAGCAGATATCTGTTACTTTTAAAGTAACTGTAATAGCAGTGCTTTCAAGAAAGACTGCCTTAGGATGTTAAAGAGGTGTTGGTGGTGGCATAAGTTACAGAATACTCAGACTTTTATTTTCCTGTTTGGCTTTTTCTGCTGATTTATTGATTTAGATGAACTAAAGGGCCAGATGAATCACTGAGGTCCTGTATCAGGTCTTTTCTGCATCTTTTCTTTACTGCTCACATTTACTAACTATATGATATTCAGACACTGTTCATCTCCTGCAAACAGTTTTTTTTAGGCCGCTTCTATTTTTGTCCTCCGTTGGTCCAGTTTCGCTCTGCGTCATTGCAAAATCCTATTTTATGTCTATGAAACTGTTACATTTGGAATTTTTAGTAGAATAAAATATTGTCTAAAAATATTAATTCATAATATTAATTCATCCCTTCAGTCGGGTGGCTCTTTATGCTTGAATGATTCATAGTGTTAAGTGGTTAAAACAAAAAAGAAAAGA